TGTTGAATGATTGCTGCTGTGTTGTGGTGTCCATGGTGCGGAAGTGAAAAGCCTCTTTTCCCTTTTCCACAGCTGTGAGTTAATTGGCAGCGTATGATAATGCAGCAGTTACACAGGGTCAGGAGTGGGCAACCAGAGTGTTGAAACAACCAGTAAATGACAGTAAATGCTCGAACAGTGCCTTCGATCATACAAACCAGATGCTGCTGCTGACCCTGCCATGTATACTCCATGTGTTCTCTTCATTTGCAACCCATCACTTGGCCTTTTTAGTTTCCTGACTGAACCTGAAGTTGTGTTTTTGCCTTTATATAACCTTATGTTTTAGGTTTTTTAGTCAAAAGTTGAGAGGTCTGCAATCTGCTTGTCTCAGTAGAGATGTTATTGCTTTGCCTAAAATTTTCCACAGCATGGCGTTAGACTGATCTGGCTGGTCTGGGGTTGATAGTTCTTTGGTTGGATGAATACTCCATCTGCTGTGCTTTCAAGTTTCCATAATCCATAATCCAACAAAATGGTCTTTAGACTGTCCGAGTGGAGCAAATCGTCTTCATGCATTTTTTTTCTCCTTCAAGCGAGGCCTTCTTTGACTTCCTAACTCAAAAAAAGATCTGAAGTGAATGAATTCTCCGGAGTATTTCTAAGTTCCATTCCAAAATAATGTGCTCAGTTCAGGTTTATGTAATGTACCCTAGACTAACCTCTAACTCTGCACATCCTGCTCACACCGAACAGAAGAGGAGCTATAGGAGGTTATTTTCTATAAGATTGTCCGTATATTCTCCTATTATTTTTGAGTGTACTGTAACTGGCACAGGATGTATTTAATCTATATATTGTATATCACTGAGTACATTTACTGACAGTAAAAATCAGATAACTACACAATGTATAATTCAGTGAATTTTTTGGTGGGTGGGTTAATAAAATAATATATATATATTTTTTTTTTTATTATTATATGTATTTTTTGCATAATTTTCCTTGTCAAACCTGCACAGATTTACCAGAAATAAGTGACATTACTCACATCAGATCTAATATTTTAATAATCTGAATCGCCAGTAATACAATTTTAAATGCACATGTAACATAGACCTCACTGACTGAGGGAATGTGACATCACCCATAGCTTTCAGCTCCAGCCAATTGCAGCCACTCGAGGCTAGCAGTTATAGAAGCTAATCTGGAGCCAAGATCCATATTTGGAATGTGAGTATCTTAGCAACCAAAGAGCTAATCAGGAGTGAGTTTGGTGAAGGTACTCGTCCCTTTCGGCCTGCACCGCTGGTTTGGCATGGGTTCAGGCTCTTAGCAACAAGGCTGTCAATCAACCTGTTGCAAACACTAGAACAAGCAACCTTGGGGAGAAAATGAAGAGTCGATGAATGGATTTCTATATACATTCTATGGCATTTAAACCACTGTTAGTCCAAAACTGAAAATGGCCTTTATTATGACCTAGAAAGAAAAAACACACAGCTCTATTCAGAGCTCCTTTGTTTTCTTTTGATTTTCCTCTGTGCGCTCCCTTGACACGATGGCATCATCGTTCCACCCTTCAGATTAAAAGCACATTCATTTGCCTCCCCATTGGGTTTGAGCCAGGTGAGAGGGCCTTTATAAATGCAAAGCCGCTCTGTGCCCTCCGCCCACATGAAGTGACCTGTCAATAGAACTACTCGATTTAGCAATAAGTGCGCCTATTACCACCTCTGACTCACCTCCTACAGGACACCATAAGGAAACGGGGAGCCTCTAATCTGGCCGCACTGGGAATTTACTTAGTGATTTCTTCCCTCTCTTCTATAGTTTTAAAGGAGGAAAAATTATAACTTCATGTCTTATTTTTTCTGTTATACGTATTAGCAAATAGAAACTGAAAAATGAAAAATTCAACTAGCACAGATTGCAATTGTACTAAGTCACTTACCATATGCAATTATTCACAGCAATTCCCCAAGTTTATAAGTGGTTTTAACAACTTTCAAAGACCAGAGCTGAGTATTGCTCAAATAGATGGAAGAAAATCAGGTACAGGCCCTCAGTCAAGAGCAGTCAAAGGCCTTAACATTAACATTATAATCTTAGTAATGTATGTATGTGGTAGAGTGCAGTTTGTACCTTTTAACAACCGTTAATAAAATGTGATCCAAATCCTGTCTTCACTTTAAGCAGTGAGCACAGTGTAAACAGATATTATTATTATTAGGGATGATCCTATATTGATGTTTTTTTGTTTTTGTTTTTTTCAATCTGCAGTTGATATTGTCTTGCTGTTGCGGATGGCTGATAACTTGAGCCTTGCCATGGGTTTTAAAATGTTGATATGGGGATCGACAAATATCTGTTAAGTTCACATTATATATCAGTACCAATATTATCACACTTATGTCTCCCATTTATGATTTATCACAAGTTGTTATATAAGCTATTAAAAGTTGTGTAACAAAAGTTGACCTTTTTTTTTTTACTCCAGTTGATCTTGTTTCCTTAATATTGAACAAATGTTGCTTTCAAATGTGAAACAACCAAACTTGCCAATGCCACACATGCATGAACAATATTTACAGGTATTCAGCTGTCCTGCGACATAGCTAATGGCAAAGATAAAGTGATATTGTGAAAGATTATTGTAAATTGGATCATTTTTGCTGAGTGAGGAATCTTGCAGGAGTCATGTAGGATTGTGTGTTTTAAGAGGTTTATTTTATACTGCAAAATGTAGTGGGGGGGAGGCAACATGGTGAAAAATACCCACACAAGTTCTGCTTTGACAAATTATGGCTACTTTACTTTACTTTTAACTTTTTTTTAGTTTTTTGGTTAGAAGTTTTGACTTGTTTGCTTCAATTTCAAACCATAAATATTTTTTGTCCATGATTTGACCATGGCAGAGTAAAGCTTTTTTTATTTATTTATTTAGTTTTGTTAGTCTCACCTTTTATTTTAGTATTTAGTCCAAAATGAATGGTGCTCCTAAGACTTTTCATGAATTGCCTTTTACAATTTGCCGCACAGAGTCCAGTACTGCCCTCCTGCAGTTCTGGGTGCTGTGCTGCTCTGAAAAAGTTCCACGGTGTGCTTTTGGCTTGGCCTTTGATTACTGGCAGAGAAAGGGGGCTGTGGGACATTGGGCACGCTGTTGAGGGGGTTGTTAATGCGTCGTTCTTTTTGCTGAGGTCAGAAAGCCTCTACTGACATAGGGAACAGCAGATTGGTTTTAAAGTGTGTTGATCAGGCAATGCGTTTTCGACTGGGCTGGCAGTTTAATATTTGGTGGTAGTTGGAAATGGCTTTATTTCAAAATTTGGCTTGTTATATAGATTGTTCTGTAGAATGTGACAGGATTACAGAATTGTTGTTATTTTTTTAGTTAGAAATAGGGCTTCAAGATCACTTTGCAGCCATGGGTAACACTTCATTGGATATAATATTGGAAGAGCAATGGGGGGGTTGAATGATTTGGTAAAAATATCTAATAGTGACGAAAATTACAATTAGATGTGCAATTTATGTTTAATAGGATTTTGTTCTAATTTTAAACTTGTCCAGAAAACACTGACAGAAATACTAAAATATGAACTGACAAACTAATGCAAGAATCACATTTTACATGTTTTTACAGATCTTAACTAGTTTACAGTTTTTTATGCAAAATAGGACAGGATATTGTGTTGTTTGTGGCAAAAATGATGGTACTTGAAAAACTGCAACCTTTCTGATTTGCTAATTGTGCCCATTCAAATAGCAATCTCAGTTTGATCGCTTTTATTCTTGCAACCCTGGTCACATGTAGTTGCGATTGTTGTGACAATACATTGTCCTCTGCAGAGAGCCAAATATTATGAAAAAATCCGGCTGATTAACTGGTGTTTACCTGGAGAGGTCATTCTGGTTGAAATCTTCTCTGCTGACCTCATATCCGCAACCTGCCCAGGGCTCTCCAACCTTCCACCTTCAATGATGCGCACAGTTGCCGAACAAAGGGCTGTAATGAGCCGGTCTTGATGCCTCTAATGATCTTGGCTGTGGCCCGGAGAGACTGTCCCTGTCCATTAATTCCAGTTTTCCCCCACTACATGCTGCTAATGGATAATTGGAGCTCTGACGACTTATTTGTTGTGGCACTGTTCACCTGAGTTTCTAATGATTGCATTGCTTTTACATGACCCTTGAGAAATGACCATAGGATAACACATGTTATTATTTTGTATTGAAATAGTTGGTGGATGGGCAAATTGCAAAACTGTAAACTCACATCTGATTTAATACAAATCAAGAAAAAGCACATTGTGTAAATGCTGTCAGAACATTTCTTAATTTCTAATTGATATCTACACCATATCTACACCATTTATTTATGGGTTTCTTTATCATTCCTAAACTAATTTCTGCAGTGAGGATTGAGCTAATACCTTGACCTTTGTCTTCTGAACATGCTACATAAACCTACAGGTCATCACTGCCACATGGCTGAAAGGCAATTACTGCTACAACAAAGTACAGTGCAGAGTAACCTACTGCTCTATAGAGGAGAGAGAGGCATTTCCCTAATATAATTAGATGTATAATTAAAATCTATAGTGCATCAGGGGAGCAGGCTAATCCACGGGCATGCCCTCGATGATAAGGCTTAGAACAGAATTGTTCCTTCAGATTTCATTATTTAGTTAATTACTGCGTCCAAACAAGTCTTGTTCCAGATAATGACAACTCCAAAGGAGATAATTAATGTATTTTGCACTGGCAGAAGTTGTGAATGTTCAGCATAAGTAATTTGAAGACATGATGTATTGATAGTGTGTTAATCAGATGCAACTGTTGGAATAAAAAAAAAATTAAAAATCTGTTATGACCCAAGGAAGAAGCTGAGAAGTTTAGTTGTTTTCTGTAATATCTAAATGCAGAAAACGCCAGCATGTGATATAAAAAAAAAGTCTGAATCATAAATTTGAATCCTTGTATGTAGGACAAAAATATACTTTTTTGCTCAACAGGTGGACGACATTCTTGGGGAGGAGAGTGACAATGATGAAAGTGAGAGCCAAGCGAAGGACAAAGCGAAAAAAGAAGAGGGGAGACAGAAGAGAGCAGGTCTATCATCAGGGCTGGGATCTCAGGCGTTGGGTACAGAGGAGCAGAGCCAGCCAACAGCGATCACATCCATGGAGAGTCAGTCACACAGCCAACAAAGGTACCATTTACTGTAATATCTATATGCACATCTAAGGCAGTAAAATTTGGAGTAGTTCTAAATTGGTGATCTTGGCCCTCCTTTGTTCTTAAATGCTTTAGTGTCTGGAGCCCTCCTCATTGCGAATCACAGAGAGCCTTCAGTTTTATAGACAAGACATCTCTTCTCAGATATCCCCTTCATGTTTCTATGATTGACTAATGTGCCTGTCAATTTCAATCCACTAGAAGTTTGGATGTTGAAATGAAAATCCATTTTTTTAAGGATAAGAAAAGAAGAGTCTGGCTGGTCAGGCTAATCTTAGATAGTCCTTGTTCAAGGGGTGGGTCTGCTGATGGAGATGTAAAGCTTGAGATTGTGTTGTCACATTGCAGAGACAGTCAACCTAACATTAAACCAATGGAGATTTCAAGATGCTAAATGCTAAACTTAATCTACTTTAAAGTATGTCTGTCACTATAGTGTGTTAGATGTATTTGCCAGGAGTTATTGGGCTGTCCCTCAGCTCTTTTATTTATGTTTTAATTTTTTTTAATCCCAAGCTTTGTTAAGTTGCTTCAAGTGCATTATCATAATAACACCGGAAGTCCTTTTCACTAAAGTGATTTAGTGAATTGGTGAAACTAAGTTGCCCTGATTTGTAATGTGTATTTCTTTTTCCAAGATTTTTTGTAAGACTTTTTTCCTCTAATGATTGTTCCTGGTCCTGCTCCATGTTAAGAGTTTTTCCAGCTAAAATCCAACCAAATTGTAGAAAATGATTGCAAATGTATAGCATATTTTCAGGACTCACTTTCTCCAAAGCCCATTATCATCATAACACAGCACTTCATCAGCAGTGTTATGCTGCAGCCAGACGGTCTGGTCCGTAACCATGGAGACTAATCCAAACAGGCAGCAGGCAGTTCAGGAGTTCTGATGGTAGAAGAGTCTCTTATTTCTGAAGGACAGACTTCAGCTCAACCTCACTGAGACTGACATATTTATATGCTTTAGTATGACCTCTCACAGTGTACTTAACTAGGAATGTGAATCTGAAAACTCCAAAGGTTTGTTAAAGCAAGTTCATATATATTTAGTTGTCCCTGCCAATTATATAAATATTAGGAATGGGACGATTCTCAAAAAAATATTTAATAATTTGAGTCTGGTGTTTCGATTTAATTTTCATGTTGCATTTGATTCCCACGTATCCCTCCATGGCAGGAAAATTTTAATCATGGGGTCCTTTCTTAGATACAGGAAGTAAACCGCTCTATAGAGGTTTACTGCTTCTGTATTCTAGTGAAAGGGGAGTTTTATCTTTCAGTTACTTTTTATTTTATGTTGATACTTAGTATTGGCAAAAATATGAATTTTTATATTGGCTATATGCACATGTGACTTGCACTTCCCTAATCTTTTTTAACATAATTTCCCTAATTTTACTTAGTAAATGATCTGATTAAAGATCATTACTTATTCTTATAAGATGTTTAGTGGCAAAAAGAGGTGAGGAGAACACTTTGACTTTGACTTTTAGTCAAAGGAAATGCTCAAAATAAATAAATGTTTGTGTAATCCTTCAGTCGTCCATTTAGGATCCACCTCAAAGTAGAAATTAAATTCTGTCAGCTGGACAAAAGTTTTTTTTGTTTTTTTTTTCAGTTTTCAGTTTTTTTGTCCAGTTGACAGAATAAAATTTTTCCTTTACTATAAAATAAATAAATGCAGAAAACAGAAAGATATAATGGTGGTATTTATCTCTAGTAGCCTTTAAGTAACATATCATAAACCATATGCTTCTTATGAGACATAATATATATGTTTTTTAACTGTACATTTATCTGTGTAAATGTAAACTAACAGTACTTAATGAACAGTGTAAGCGTGTCAGAGGTGAAGAATAGTATAGTACTCTCTTTCTGCTAACCTCAAATCCCTTATTATCTGACACTGACTCTGGGTTACTTAAAGCAAAATAGATCTTTCAAAGATTTTTACCATGTTATATTTGTTTCCCCTCACCATTTACTCACCCGAAGTTGTGTTTGGAGTGATTTGTGTGAGCAATTTTTGCGGATCAACACCCATTTTCACCGCCACTGGCATACACCCACTGCTCTGTACTTTCTCCAATTTTATTTTCTTCATCTTCGTCTCTCTAGTGTGATGTGCACCCATCTATAAGAGGGGTCAACAACTTTATGGCTCTTTGTTGTCATGACGTTTATAGCTACATCTGTGTGGGGCTGTGTGGGGCTGTGTGGGGCTGTGTGGGGCTGTGTGGGGCTGTGTGGGGCTGTGTGGGGCAGTCTGGGGCAGTCTGGGGCAGTCTGGGGCAGTCTGGGGCAGTCTGGGCAGTCTATGGCAGTCTATGGCAGTCTGTAGTGGTGTGGGGCTGCAGCCGTAACACCTGGACTCTCTTAGGCTCTCCGCAACAGCAGTTCCTGGACAGGGTATTTTTGGGCCCACTGACTCATCAGCAGCAACCCAGGCTGTCAGACTACCTGCCAGACATGATACAGAAGACAGGAAAACAAAGTAGCACGTCAGCAGTGCCCTTAACTTTTGCTAAAATCAAGAACACATTTCGTAAGGAATATTTTTGCGAAACATGACTACACCATGTGTTGTCATCATTTACCAATTAGGTCCAAGGTCGTAATGTTGTAGTAGGGCTGGGCAGTATGGAGCAAAAAATATATCTTGATATATTTTGCTATATCTCGATATACGATATATATCTCGATATCTGTACAGGAATAATAACCCCCTAAAACTGAAAACTGTAAAAACAAATATGTCAAATATCCAGTGTCTTTTTTATTAAAGTGCAAGAGGTAGGCAGTTCATGTAGGAACAAAATGCTTCTGCCACATTTAAGATTACAAAAAATCCCTAATTACATAAATACTAATTTAACTGTAAAATAAAATAAATAATGCATATTTCCTTCTTTTCATTCATAAATAAAACAACTCAACTCAAGCTCACCTTTGCATTAACTCTGTTATCCATACCATAACCATAACCATGAGCTCCTTCTGCATAGGAAGCTCAGGATGTTCCTTATTTTAACAGAACCACATTCCTATCCAGCAGTAAGGAGCTCTGAGGCATCCCATAATCCACTGCAGATTAAACCAACTATTGTACAAATTGCACTGCAGATAAATAAACTTTACATTACTAAACTTGACAACATATAAAGAATAACGACTCTAAAGCCACATCAGCCCATTTGAGATTATAAAATGTTTAATGCAGTTTTGCGCACATGTATTTATGTTTTACAGAAATGAAACTTAAAAGCGCATGGCTCATTTGCATAAACAGTGCACTACTCGTGCAGTTCACGCGGTTCAGCTTCTTTCGGACTAAAGGACACGACTCGGGGGAATATGAGTGTTCTCTCTGTGACAGAGGATGTGCTGCTGATGGTCTTGTCTGTAAATGGTGGAAAAGGTTCGTGGTGCTAGAAGCGTTTCACTGGCAACAACTTTCAGCATTCAAGGCGGTAGTGAGGAATGAATGAGACACAAGCAGCAAAATCAGGTTGGTGGAGGCGCGTGGTGGCGATGACAGAGAAGGCAAACAAGCAAAGCAGCGAAATCAGAATTGAATATAAGCATTATATCGATATATACTATATGTCAGACTCCATATCGAGTTTAAAAAATATCTCCATGTATTTAAAATATCGAGATATTGCCCACCCCAAAATTGTAGCAGCATTCAGCAGTGCACAGGTTTCAGTTTTTTTAGAATTGCAATTTTTAAATCCATGGCATTTTTTTTTTAATATACAAAATTTAAATGACTGCATATTATTACCAGGTGTCTTCAATTTTTTACATAAAGAAATTTTGTAGTGATATTGACATGCAACATGAGGCACCAAGTGAGTGGCTCAGGGGTTAGAGCACCAACGAGAAAGTCAGAGGATCGATTCCAGCTCGGTATGGTCTAGTATGTACTGCCACTGTGCCCTTACACAAGACAGATCACTTGCCTAATATGAATATCGTGTATGACTTTTATTTGTGGTGAAAGATCAAAGTTAACATGTTGTGTAGTTGTGTTAAAAATAGCTAAGCATGTACAAGAATGTGAGTCTATTTCCAATGAGTATCCTTTGTTGTCACTAGTAATATAGTGTAATGATCAAATTTATTAAAGAATTTGTCTTTGTCTCACTTCTGTTTTACATAAAGTAATTTTTTTTTTTTTTGCACTCAATCCTAGTCGTCTGACACTCTCCATCTCTAGGCTGTACTAATGCACTTCCTCCTTCAGCCTCTGTGCTACCTTGTCTACTTCCTGTGCTGTTATAACTGCCACTTTGCTGGTTGTCATTCTTGTTTCAATCCTTTCTTACTTTTTGCAGGAAATAGGCATACATCAGTTGCTAAGAGACTGTGTGATCTGGAAATCTGTTTTGTCCTTGCCTTTATTCACTTATGAAACTTTTACAGTACATACACATTTGCTCCATTTTGTAGTATACAGCCCTAGTCCTAACAGCACTTCAGTGTGTTTATCTGTAATCATCAGTGTTTGGCATATTTATTTGTGTGGTTCTTAGGTAATGGCCTTTAAGAGATTCATGAAAAACCTTTGTCCTTTTGTGAATTTTACCCTGAAGTGAGTTGAAGATGGTTAATTAACTTTTTGTTGTTTTGTCATGTTTATCACTCCACAATGAGTATTGCTTATTGTAGTAAAAAAAAAAAAAAAGAAATTTTGCTGCCAAAAAATGGGGTTCAATTCATTCATGTTCCTCCAACAGTTATGGTAATTTTGACATTCTGATCTGTTTCATATTTTGCTTAAATGAATTCACAGCAGGACACAATGTGTCCTTGAATAATAATTCTTGAGAACACTCCATGTTTTAGGACAATAAACCATCACAAAAACTGCTTGACTGTTACTCTTGAAATATCTTTAGAATATTGCATTTTGGTACAAAATAAATATATAAAAAGGAATTTGTGACAAATAATTTTAAGCAAAGT